GAATTTTTACCTTAGCAGTCGTTAAACAGGTAGAAACTGTTTTTTCATTTGGTTTGCTGTCTACCTGGCTTTCCTGTACATCTGTACCTCTTCCGCACAGTTCAGACTGTGTAACGTGACCTGTGACACCATTATCCCAACGGGACTGTGCTCTAAACTTTCTTACCTTTCAACTGTTCGAGAAAAGTTTATTTTTATTAAATTATGTTGCCATATGCTAGGTAAATTTAAAATAAAAATTAAGTTACTAAAACTTTTTGACACTTGCATAAAAATTGCTGAAGTGGTATAATTAAAAAAAACTAATTGCTTACATTGTCAGTTCACACTTGCTACAGTGTTTAGCAAGTTTTCTATGACTGCTGTGTCGAGATGTTTGGCATAGACAAGCAATTTGAAGTGCTGCTTGAAATGCTTTACGAAAATTTGCTAAATATATGAATGGATTAGCTGCACAGTTAATATATGGCAAAAGATGCATGACGTTTAACAGCAGACGAACTGCATCAGATCTTCGTATACGTCCAAGCGATGCACATAACGTATATACCCAAAACGGAGTCCTAATATAAAAAACAATATTATTTGAAATGTCTTTTGAAGAAAACAGTTTAGCAAAAAAAACATAATTTGTTAACTTTGCCTTCTAAAATAAATAAATATACCTTGTTTTACTGTCCAGCTGCAATTTTTTTTTCTAATCGAAATAAAAAGTAAAAAAAATTTTCTTAATAAAGCTGTTTACACTGTAAATTATTCATTACTAATTAATGATGAATAAGCTGTAAAAAATTTATATGCAATAAATTTTGAAACTCATATTTGAAAAATACTTTCTAATTCACAAATTTCAATAATTTGCTAATTGTAGCGATTTAGTCTCTTTGAAAGAAAATGAAACTAATACTGTTTTGATCTACCATTTTCAACAAGCTGCACATAGTTTGGTAAACAAAAAAAAATCGTTTTTTTTCTCTTTCTTTGTTGATCATATATCAAGTGAATCTTACAAGACATCTGGGAAAACGGTGTTTTAAGAGCTGAAACTAAGATTAACGTACCAGGCAAAAACGTGAGCAAATATAACGGTTAGAACGAAATAGGTAACCCGTTGATATGGCGCTCTTGAACTGGCGCTTCTTGACATTCTTCGATTTGTTTGCAAAGCTTGTTGCATCTTGATTAGTATATGATAATAAAAATAAATTATCATCGATAACGGCAAGAAGAATATCACAATAGTTGTACCAAAAACATATCTGAAAGCTAAATTTGAACAACTCTAAGGAATGTATAGCACACTTTCAAAGCAACAACAATAACAGTTCAAGTTTGTAGAAAAAAAATTTTTTTGTCTTCAAAATAACCTTCAAAAGACTTATTCAGAAAAATGCACAATACTGAAAAAACAATCAGTTTTTTGTTTCTAACCAAAAACTAAAAAAGAAAAGGTTGTTTAGAATAAAATAATTTATCAATAAACCATACCGCCCAGCAAATGCTCGACCTTGAAGAAAATTTGTTTTACACTCATCTCGCGTAGTGTTACCGTAGGAGTTATTGATAAGAATATTCATTCTAATATCTACGTTCAGAAATACTGGAGATGCAGCTACAGCAGACAAAGTCCAGGCTAGCATACTTAAAGTTATTGCTAGATAAAATGACCGAAATCGCCGCCAGCTGGGTTTACATAACGCGCAATAGCGGTCGAAAGCCATAAGAACCACGAACAATACCGTTGCATATTTACCTGACTTTTGATCTTTGTTATTTAAAGAATTAATCTGTTTTTTATTGTTGTTTATATTAATGCTACCGTAATACATCAATTTCCTAGAAAAAAAATAACGTAACTAGACAAAATTACTTGTTTTCATAAAGACAGTCTCTTGACTCGCAGTTTTCAACAAATACTGATGAAAATTAGCTTTTTTATCTGTTTAAACAACCCATAAAATTTTGTTTGTTTGTCGGTTTGTCTGATTTAACGTCTGCTGTAATGGCTTTAATTGTTACTGGAAATCCCAAATGTGCGAGAATGAAAACTAAGACTATTCTGTGGGTGAAAACATGTTAATTTCATAATGCAAAAAGTATGATTTTTGAAAGTATTTTTTTCTCTTGAAACTGTTTGACTGTTGGGCTTTTGATGAGGTGCACTATTGAGTGCAAAAGTTTATATGACCATTTAGAAGTTTCTTCTTACAAATTTTGGCAGTTAATTCAGCAATAAAAGTTTTTATCTTTTTTCTGACAAAATCTTAGTTCTCTTCGTTCTGTTTACTTTCAAAATATAAACTTCAAACTTTACTGTTATAAAATTAGTAAAAAACTTGTGATTAAGACAATTCTCGAACAAGTAAAATGCTAAAAAAAAACAAGCAAAAGTTTTTCTAATATCATTTAATATTCACCATCAAAATTTTTACCGGTTGGTTCGTATGTCTTAATGCTTCGGTAACAAAGTAGAATCAACCATAAGCAGTAATTTGGTAAAAAAAGCAAAAAAAAGAAAAAAATAAGAAAAATTTTCTTAGATTTTAGCAGTTTACATATACAACCAACTGTAATTTATGATGAATAATAAGCTGAAGCAATTTGTTATAGCAAAAGTGTATAGCAGTTTATATCCCTCAACAATTATTTTTAATGTTTCCATCTAATAAAAGAAAAGGCTGCTGTAATTCAAAATTGTAATAACATGAAAAAAAACTGATTTTTCAATAGAAAAAAAAGAGAACTGCAGTTAGCTTATCTAAGACTTTTGAATCTTTTTTAAAATTATTCAAGAACACCTGCAAGAAATATTTATAATAGCTGATATGAAAGCAGACATGACAGTCAAAAGGTCATTTTTCATTTATTGCACTTCTGTCTAAGTCTTATATTGATTTTAGAAAAAGAAAAGAATTTTCACTTTTTAACTTCTGAAAAAAATAATAATATAAAAAGCCAAGTTCTGAAAAGTAAGGCGAAAATGATAAAATAACTATTATTCTTGTCTAATAATCTGTCAATTTTCATTTCTGTTTTCCCTTAATGCTTATTTATAACAAGACAAGCTGGAAACACTTGTGTTTATCTTGTCTTAACTTACCAAGCAAATCAGATCATGAAGCTTCATAAAGTTCATCACTTGTTAGAGGAAGTTGTAACCAGAAAAAATAAATCATTTTTTGAACTTTTCTTTTTCCTGGTTCCTTACGTCTACACCAAAATCATACCGATTACGAATGTTACGCATTCATATAAGAATGCTTAAAAATCTTTTTGGATAAAAACTAAAAAGAAACAACCAGAGCAGATAAAAATCTTTTAGAAAAACCACTTAGCTCACAACTTAAAAAATACCTTCTTTAAGAACTGCTCGCAAAAAGCGTTAAAACTTAAATGACAAGTAAAGAAGTTTAATTACTTCATACAAATCAAAGAAGAAAAATTAATTTTTTTTTCATTATGTAACAACAATAACACTTACTTGTA